GTGTGTGTGTGTGTGTGTGTGTGTGTGTGTGTCTTACTTTTTGCAGTAGCAGATGCTTAGCAAAATAGGTATCATGCTATTTCTTTTGCAACATTGTACAAAGCATAGAAAAGGAATAAAAAGTTGTAAGCAAATAAGCCAGGACAAAAAAGAACAGAAAATCTAACTAAATTTTGTTTATAACATTACCAATTGCTTATATCTCTCCAGCTTATTTATAATATTTACTCCTGAAAATACAGAAATCAGAGATTTGTGTATATGTCTCTGGGTGTGTATTAAGTCTTTAAATTAAGTCTTTAAAGTCCTTAAATGAATTGATGAAGCTACTGTTAAACTCATTATATGGAATTTATACACGGTAATAGAAAATAAATTTATATTATATTTTGAAATTCAGAGATAACAAAAATGTTCTAATGAATGTAAGTTCATAGATGGAACAAAAGGAAATCCAGTAATTCTTCCCCAAGATAATTTTATTTTACTTATTCATGGCAAGCTTCCCATTTAAGGAGGTGAATTTAAGGCCATAACAACACTGCAGTATATAAGGACTAAACATGTTATAAACATCATCTTGTTGCAACCCAAAATGAGCAACTTTGTGTAATGAATCTTGTAATTAATTTGGTCATTCAGAAATGAATTATTGAGGGAGTAGTACTGAACAGCAAAGGATCCTTTCAAGAACTGATTACTGTTACTGCTCTTCCTAAGATCTTATTTTCTTAAATACACGCAATTTTTTTTTTAGATATATTGCAAACTATAAGCACAGGTCAAATTTTTACAGGACCTTTTCTTTTAGGTGTATAACCACTTGAATAAACATCTGTACTTAAACGTATCTGCTTATTAGTAAAGTCTCAGTTTCAGTGTGCATTCGAACATCAACTCCAGAATGACCATGAGAACTAAAACTGGGAGTCCTCCAACTGGTGTGAACTTGGTGGACCATTAGATGTCTTGGACTTTTGGCTTCCATCCACCCGAGTAGTTTGTTGGTTCTCCATGACTTGGAAAGACTAAACATTTCCAGAAGAGATTGGGATTTTCTTAGTTCGAAACCATCATAACTTTTCCTTGTTCTCATTCCTTGTCTGCTTGGAGTCAAGCACTAATAAATTACCACTGAATAAATAAAATTATCCTTCCATTTGAAGAGGAAATGCCAGTCTAATATTTTCCTCTCTATTCTTTGCTAAAATATCCTCAAAGAAATAAACAGGCAAGCCTCAAAGCCCACTGATTAAAATTGCCTGGAATCCATTTACTGATTTAAGCTTTCAGAGCTGTTTTCACAGGCCTTGTTTGAAATAAGGGGCTGCCCTTCATTTTCTTGTAGGCAATGCCACCGACACACAGGCCTAAATGCCCACTTCCAGGATTCTGAGCTGCAGCGTTCCCTTGGCACCCCCTGAGCTTTGGAGACATGCAAGAGCCCCCAAAAGCCACCAGTGCAATCTTACTGCATGGTTTCACCAGCATGGAGACAAACTTGGACTCCTTTTAGACTCCTTTGAATCAGGCTGATCACACCTCCATGCGGTATCTCCAATCATTGTTAAGGGCAATAACCGAGATGGACAAGATTCCTGACTAAATAAGAGAGAGCTTGTCCAGCTTTGTGCTATAACACACCAAGAAAACAGAAAGCTCTGATGAAGATTAAGCTTGAACATTATGAATCAGAGAACCTGTGTGAACAGAGACCAAACATTTCAGAGAGCAAGAGTGAAGTCAGAGAATGGAGCATCTCACTCAAGGTCTCACATCCCCTCCTCACTTTTTTAAGAAGCATTCATTCGTTTCCTAGTGTTCCATTGTAATATCTATTTCATAATTCTGCTCATTTAGCCACGGTTCAGCTGCCATGGACTATTCTTCTAGTAGAAAGATGGTATATGCATGAAATACATACATAGAAATCAGTACGATTTACAGGTAACACCACAATATTTTATTGGAATTTAATCATAGTTGCCCCACTGGAAGTGATACGACCTGTTAAACTTAATTAAATTCCATTAATTTCAGGGGATATGTCCTAAGGATAACACAGAATAGGATTTAACCTGCATTATATAAGAGTATGTGGAGGGCGTTAATCGTGTGTGTTCCTTTTATTATTTCATCTCTCATGATTAATACTGTCAATTTAATTGGGTAATTGAACATTTTAAAGTAAACTAATACCCCATCTTTGTCTTTTCCCCCAAAATTGAGGGCTTTTAATAACAAGTCTTACACAGGCACAAGTGATTTTTTTTTTTTACATTAATTCAATTTCTGGATAAAAACACTGAAATTAAACTTACACATACTTTGGTTAAATTAGCAAATGAGCTAGACAAAGTTTGACAGTTCCCATAAAATTGTTCCCTCCAATTATCTCAAAGTGCTCAATAAACATATGCTTCTTGAAAACATTAATATATACAGTTTACACTTTCCTTCTAATATGTTTAATTTACAGATTGGGCTATCATTTATCTGGAATATTTGTATGTTTTACCATCTATTTCCTCTTTCTTTCTTTTTTGTTAAGCAACCCTGAATTCAGCCAAAGAAAGATGATTGAACTGAACTAGACATCTATATTTCACGCACACTTTTTAATGTGCAAAAAACAACCATCCTTCTTGAATAAAGTTGGGGAAATTAATTTGCCTCGTATTTTAATATGATTTCATCTAAGTTATTGAACCAATACATAAATTTAAAAATCAGTACCCTTTTTCAATTTGTAGTGCTATTTGCCAGTTGAAAAAAATAAATGATGCACAAGATAAGGTGAAATTAATGCACGGTAATGCCTTATATATTAGAAAATAGCTCACAGAAGTATCCGTGTGTGCGTTAGGAGAAATGTGCATAAAAGTGTATATACATTTAGGCATAAAGGGGTTTTTGTTTATGGTTAAAACGAAAACAAAAAATAAAAAGAGCAGAAGATAGTAATATAAAAAGCAGAAGAACCAAAAATTAAGAGGCACTCATTTCTTATTACGTAAGATTTTAAGACATCTTTTTTTACATGGAATGCTGCAATTTCTTACTTGCTCTCTCAAGCAACATACCCTTAATCCAGTTTTCTCCCAAATCTATAGCTCTGATTAACATGGCAGTCCCTTAACATTTGTATTACTGTTCTACATTGCAGACTGCAGTTCTGCCGCTTCTTCACTTCTCTGTATTGCAGCATGCTGAAAATCTACTGCTCCTACTACTAACATCTACTGCTCCTACTACACATGTTGAATTACATAATCTAAAATATGAAATGAGCTGTTTCTGCCCAGATGATCCACTTCAAATGTTTCTGAAAAAAGGAAAAGAGGGAGGCAGGCAGGCAGGGAGGGAGGGTTTGAAATTACCTATCTGGATAGAGAGCTGGAAACAAATTACCAGCCAGAATGGGGGGGGGGGGGGGGAACCCCTCTTAGAATTAATTCAAAGCTGAACAATCCTTGAAGATGTAAGGAACTATGAATCTCAGCTTCCTATCCTGAGCATCAGCACTGCCATATTACTTGAACTGGCAAACGATGAAGAAAATGGGCAAAGGTGGAACAATTTCTCCCTTCCTTCTTCGTGCCCAATTTTGCACAGAGTCTCGTTTCCTCGGTGTTAGGTACTGTTCCGTTTAGTGAAAGGATAATGCAATTCCTTTCCGTTTCCCGTTGTCTCTGGCCCGGGGCGGTTTTGCTACGGTCCACTGAATGTCCAGGAAGATGCTGTAAAAACTGGAAGAGGCAACCCAGCTCTCACCTCTGAGTCCAGCAGAAGAGGCCCCGTGCTGCACAAAACCACCTGGAAAGAAGCTACAGCAGGCCGACTCCGGGATGAAATGCAGCGAGGACGACGTTTATTGATATAAATCAGCTTTAAACAAATTAACAAAACTACCCAAGAATCTACTTTCCTCTGCTCTGAATGGAGAGCAAAAGATGTCAGGAAAGTCAAGAGACTTTTGGCTCATAAATGGAAACTTTATCTTTCCTTGACTGGTCTTTCCCATATATTTGTTGATTTCAATTTGACTGGCCTGTGAGCTATTTGCATTTCAGAAATGTTATTGTTGCCCACAAATTATAACACCCTTGCCGTGGAGAGACATGAGAAACACAAAGTTATTCAAGCAAAGCAAAAAGAACGAGAATGTTAAGAATTTGAGCCATGACAGAGTCCATTTCCAGCATGCAGGCTTGGAAAATTAAGGGTCACATGCAAAATAAATTTAATAGTTATTGTAGACAAGCTATGGTTTAGGAAAGCTTGAGTAATTTCTTCTTTCCAGATTCTGAAGGGAAGATGTCATTCAGCACCTTGGAGTTCTATCTG